TATTATCTAATAATATATTATTATTATTATAATAAAAAATAATTTAAAAGTTATATATTGTGTTTATAATTATTTATAATAAAATTAACTGCCAAAATAAATCCTACGTTCAAATTAAAAATAGAAAACAAATAAAAAAAACTATATTTTAAAAAAATATTTTTAAAAATTATTACAAACAAAAAAAATCTTGTTTGGTTTGATATTTTTTTTGATTGCTAAAAATATTTTTTACTCTAAAATTTTTTATTTTTTACAAACATTTTCTTATTTTTTTTGCTATAGTACATTCGGAAATTTAAATTATTGCATATTTCATTTTACTATGGTACATTTCAATTTCTACCGTTTGCTATGTCTGATTTCATTTGTTTCGGAAATTACAGTCAGTGACAAGTATTTCTCCCGTACACAGTAACAAACGTACACAAAACATCTCTAATATGTAAATAGCTCCATGTCAGATATTTCTATGTAATTGTTATGCTTCCATCTAGTGGATGTTATTTTTATTTATTTAAAACTTTACTTACTGTTGTGATGTTATATCACGGTTTACTTGGTCGCTGGAGGCGCCATCACGCGAGAACAAATTATGATAATTTATAGCGCGAGAAATTCAGAAACATAAAATAATTTAGAGAACGCTAAGGAAATTCCCATTAATATTTTAGTCTCCTGGTCACTCTCTAGAAATTTTCCATACATTGTAATTAGAATAAGTATCGTAAAAAGATTAGAATACTATGGTAATAGGATTAGAGTAAAATATATGGCTATAAGTTTAGTATTAGAAATGTTTGTTAAATGTTGTAGGCTGATAAGTTTTACTAGACTCATTACAAAATATATTTTAAGTACTATATTTTATATTTTAAGTATTTATGAAAGACAGTCTGGGCGGATTATTGACCCTCATTTGAGCACAATATTATCGGGCCGCCAGGTCTCTAAAAAAGGTTCCTAGTCATTAGGGAGTTGGGAAATTCCCTTGCCAGACTCAGGTATCCAGGTATCCAGCATGGTCGGAAAGAGCGAGCACGTGGCCAACGCTTCGAGCCGAAGTATACCTGAGAGAAGAGCAGCCGATTGACGTCATCAGCATTCTCAACTGTGGGACCCTAGTGCAGTAGGGGAAGCTGCCCCACCATCGCTTCTGGTTCACTTCGGACTCAAGACCAAACTCGAAAGAATCAGAATATCCTCAGCCCTCAGACTGATCTTACATCTTCATTAAATATTGTAATATCTAGATAATTTAATTCGGTGTAAAGTTTATCCAACAATATATTTAAATCAATTTAAACTAATATTCTCTTCGAAGTTATTTTGCACGTTAAAACCCAGTCATTTATTAATATTTATTCATTCCTGCTATTTCAAAGTTGAGTATTTCAATATTCCCGGGCGAATTACGACCACGTCGGTAATTTAGACTCAATAAAATAAATTCACGCGTGTCCACTAGAGTTAGGACATAACACTGTAGTTCTTTCGCCCGGGAGTATTAAAATACTCGGTTTCAGTGCGGGAAAGGAATAATTTTAAATAAAAGAATTCTATTTAGACGTAATTTAATTTTGATCAAAATTATTTAGTTGGTTTCAATTTATTATTCGAGTTGACAAAATATTAAAAGCTTCAAAATATAAAATTGAGGTTTACAATGACGTGATCTTAGCAATCTAATCTCTCGATGAGAAGTGTCGTTACATAGTTTTTCCGAAGATCTTCAAACTCCGTTCTTCTCCCACCATAACTTCCACACATACATCCGCTCTAAGGAATATATAAATACATACATTTTCTACTCGATATAAATGATCCTTATACACTAACATGTATTTTCTCTATATCTATATATATTTACTTCAGCCTATCGGCCTAAAAGTTGGACTTCACTTATATATACTTTTAGCAATACAGTCATTATGTTTATCCAACCATTCTTACTAATTTAACAAACCCTTTTTAAAATCTATTAAATTACAATAAAATTATAGTAAATTATAACATGAAAGTATAAATATTATATTATTTATAATATGTTGGACTAACGTTTGAGTTTGAATAATTAATAATTCGAATTAAATATTATTTCTATCATTTTACAATCGAGTTTTCTAATAAAATTATAAGTCATTTTAATTATTATCCTGTATAAAAGAATAGATATTATTATTTAATTATAAATTAAATAATAATTAGATAATGATTTAATAATAAATTAATAGTAAATTAGTTAACTAATAATTATTAGTTATAAATTAAATATAAGATACTAATTATTAATTATTTTAACTCAATTTTGCTTAACTACAATATTATATAAAGTTAGATTTTAACAGTAAATGTTATTTAACAATATTACTTTTGTTTAGTTACATATGTTTTTTTATTATTCTTTGTTACTTTAGAACAAGGATCTATTGAATTTCACACGTGTCTTTTACGACTTCTCCTCATAGGGTTTTAAGTTTCATCAGGCGAGAAAGTCCTTGAATTACTCAAGTACTTTTTATGGGTTTTGAAAATTCGGTTACAATGTACCTTTGTACCGAAATATGTTTTTTTTTATTCTATTTTATTTTATTTTGTAAATAAAACAGAGTTAACCAAAAGATGTTTATTGTACAACTGGTAAGAGTAAAAGCATTAAATAAAGGACTGGAATATTAACTAATTTTAATCATTTAATATTTACTAGTTTGAATATTTCGTTTGAATTCGCGCTCTCATAATAGATAGCGCTCTAATAACAGGTAGCGTCACCTGTTGGATGCACTGGGTGCATCACAACGGTTGTATCGTAGTGAATTTTAATAAAAATTCAATGAAAAAAAAAAAAAAATACGTACAGTCGGCGACAAGTATTGTAACAATATTGTATAGTACGCCATCTAGCAAGTGTCGCTGATATCCTATTAAAATTAATATTATTATAAATATTGAACATTTAACAAACAAAAACTTTGCTAAAAGCATAAAAATAAAAAAAAAAATAAGATTATTAACGTAACAAATTTTTATAGATCTTGAAGCGTGTGTAAGTTTTTTTTTTGTTCGTCAAATTTGATGATATTTTATTTTATAACCTAATCTATTTGAAGTGAACTCATCAGATTAAATTCTAATATTTATTTTATAAGGATTTTTTTAATTTTGGTCACTTTTTTTTATAATTACAGAATAGTAACATCTATTCATTAAATGATGGTTAAGATTTGATGTCAGTGCAGTCAATAAAGGACGATAAAACCGAATGGAAAATGAAGGACTCAGCGTACGTATCAGATTCCAATGTTGACTCAATACATTTTTCAAATAGTAATCACAATGAAAGAATTATTAACTCTGATAGAAATCACAGAGTTACTGGAACTAACCAAGGTAGTTAACAACTTTTTTTCATTTGATGTAAGAACCATTGTTTTAAATTCAAACTTTTTTTTTCTTTTTCAGAATCTAGCTCGAGTTTTCTGCTATCGTCACATGACAAAAATTCTATAAGTAGAAATAATTGTTTTGTAATATCAAATACAACAGGAGATCGGAAAAACGTTGATAGTAGTAATATGTTAAGAAATGTCAAAGTGAATATAGTATACAATGAAAAAGAATTAAAAAATATTTCTTCATCAGGTAGCTTAGGGAATCTAACATCGAAAAATATTGCAATAGTAAAAAAT